CGGCCCCACACCCATATCCTGTCTGGGAGAAGGGAAAGGGGGAGGGAAGGGATTTTTTTTTTTATCAGATATTTCCAGAGGGAAGAGGGCTCCACCCGCTTGAATTCCTGCCACATGGCTGCGAGCAGTGGAGCTGGGAAGGCGTGAGTAATGCAGGCGGGAGCCCTCGGAGGAGCGGCTGGGGAAGCCTGGGTCGAGTCCAGCGGCAGAGCCTGCTCTGTGCTCCCTCCTTCCTCATCCTCATCCTCTGCCGCCGATGGTACCCACGGCACCGTGGTGCCGGCTCACCTTGACCGTAGTTTAATTTTCTGTGGGTGCAGAGTAGGGCACAAATGATGGAAACTTTTCTCCTGGTTCCTGAGCCTTTGCCACCGCAGAGTTTTGCCTCCTACGGTCCCCTACGGCTCAGGGATGAGTGTTGGACCAAGTCAACTCACTCCTTTAACATTTAAATTGTTGAACTTTTTAAGTTTTATTTGACCTGAGATACTTCCTAAGCCCCATTATTAAAATATCTTTAAAAATCCGAGGCATTTACTTTTTAAAAGCTAGGTAGGTAAATACGACAGGTATTGCCAAGTATGGTTTTCTTTCACGTGTCTGCATGCTTTTGCTCCTGCACGTGCTGGCACGACCAGGTGAAGATTTCTCCCAGGTCAACAAATGGCTCGGCTCAAACTCTCAAACCCTTGCTACTAACAAATTGACAAAGTTTAGCAAAGCTAATAAAAATGCATGGTGCAATAAATGACCCACGTTAGCTGAGTACCATGTGGGTTATCCAGCCCACATCTGGATCATTATTTATCTCACAAGTCCTCAGGTTTCAGAAAACTCAGCCGTGTTTTCTATAAAAAAGTGCCTGCACACGCTGCAATAAAGGGAAGAGAAAGAAATACAGTGTGATCAGCCTTCTCACAAACTGCACTGAGCAGTAATCCAGGCTTCAATTTACGATATTCAGTGGTGAAAAGACTTTGATTAGAAATGCTTATGGTGCTTTGCAAACATCTGGAATAGTTCAAAGGTGCTTGGGTGGCTGTGGCACTTGGGGAGGTCAAGTCCAGGTGCTACATTGTTCTGGGGATGCGAAGTTTCCTGCTAATGTGCGTGCAAGCACAAAGCTGTGTGCGAAGAGTGGATTTCACTTTGTGCTACTCATTTTTCTGGGCATGCAGTCATGCCTCCTGCTTTTGATTTGCTAAAATTCGTCAGGAAAACTTGGTGATTTAACCAGTTGGAACTGAATTTTCTTGGAGAGAAAAAACTTCTCCCTTAAATAAGAGCTGTGCCAGAACCTAAATCCCAGCTCCAGACACCTGCACGGAGCCCTCGGCAGGGCCCCCACCGCCCCCGGTGCTCCCGCGCCCAGAGCAGCTGCAGCCGGGATGGGATGGGATGGGATAGGATAGGATGGGATGGGATAGGATGGGATAGGATAGGATGGGATGGGATGGGATAAGAGGATAGGATGGGATGGGATGGGATGGGATAGGATAGGATAGGATAGGATGGGATGGTATAGGATAGGATGCGATGGGATAGGATGGGATGGGATAGGATAGGATAGGATGCAATGGGATAGGATGGGATGGGATAGGATAGGATGGGATGGGATGGGATGGGATAGGATAGGATAGGATAGGATGGAATAGGATGGGATAGGATGGGATAGGATGGGATAGGATAGGATGATACGGGATGGGATGGGATAGGATAGGATGGGATGGGATAGGATAGGATAGGATAGGATAGGATAGGATAGGATAGGATAGGATAGGATAGGATAGGATAGGATAGGATGGAATAGGATGGGATAGGATGGGATAGGATAGGATGATACGGGATGGGATGGGATAGGATAGGATGGGATGGGATGGGATGGGATAAGATAGGATAGGATGCACCAGTGCAGGCAACCTCGCGGGGCCAGGCTGGGGTGCCCTCCCCATGCAGCACCCTCTGGGACGACCACCCACCGGCTGCAGGAGCAGCTGAGCAGCTCAGCCTGCTGTCGCCCACTGCCAAAATGAACTTCAATGATCTCAGTCTTTGTTTTTCATAAACCGTCCAGGTTTTCTGGACCTGAGCCAACAAAGTACAAACATCCCACCGTAGAAAGATTCCAGCCAGGACAATACCGCAGTGCCCAATGCCGCAGTGCACAGTACCCCACAGCCCGTGAATGCCTGTTTAACAGACATGTGTGCCCTCAGCCCAGCCCCTGCCCTGATGCTGGCACCGGGCGGCTGATCAGGACCTGTCAGTGCTGCTCCATCTCAAAGGGTTGTTTGGGAGGATGAAGTAAAGCTTCTTGGAGCTCAGGCTCCCCTGGGCAGAAATACAAATGAAACGACGCATTTCATATTATTTTCTCTTTAGTGTCTGGATAAGAATCTTAAACAGCATCAGCCCTGGAGTAGCGACTGAAGCTGTTTGTTAAAAATTGAAATAGATCTTAAGAAAATAAAAGGTTAAGAAATGGGAAGAAATGCCTTTTCCCTGATTCATATAGTTCATTTCAGAAGGAAAAGCTGGAAGTGTCATCTTTGTAACATACCAGGAAGCAATATATAAACTTTAGGTTAGAACAGCAAACCATTCTCCAAACATTCTGTTTTACCTCCAAAGATGTTTTCGCTCATGAGTCAGAGCTGATCCCAGGCCGATGGGAATGTTTCTATTTACTTTGAGACTGTGCCTGCAACTGCAAATCCAACTTATTTTTCCTGAGGCACACCAGTGATCTTTTCCAAGCCTGCGTCTTTCCTCCAAGGATTAGAAACCCAAACTACTCTGCAATCCAGCTTTGTGCAGAGCTTTGTGCATCTCTTGGTGCCAAGGACGGGGCAGGATGAGGGCAGACACCAGCCCGTCCTCCTCCAGTGCCTCCGGGAACCCTGCGAGGGCTGCACCGAGGGCTGGTACCTGCCCAGCCAAAATGTTTCATCTCTGAGCTTCTCCCATCCAAGCCCTAAGGCAGCCTGACTTTTGGGGCAAGAAGAAAGTGGATTTATGGAAGCAGCTCCCCTCTCCCTGCCCTGACTGCAGGGACCCTCGGGGGCAGGTGGGGGCTCAGGGGTGGGCTGGGGGGACAGCAGCTCTAACACCTTCCTCTGCCCCCAGGCAAAGCTTCTGGGAGCCCAACAGACACCCCCACACTGACGGTCA